CAACTTCTATAGCATGTGTTGCGTCTGTTGGTGTTGTTTATTGTAATTGTATTAAATTGAATGATTTTTTATATTGAATAATTTTTTATTTTGCAGATATGAATTATTATAGGAAAAGATATTTGTTTGATACATACGTTGTTCATTCATGGAAGTGTTTAGTGTTTTTTTAACACATTATTAACATTTTGTGGAGATTTTAATCTTTTAAAATAAAATCTCTTCAATTTAAATAAAATGTTATTTTGTAAATATATATGCTGACTCAATTTGCCAACCCGCCGTTATAGCACGTACAGGTTAAAAAATTTCTTTTGAATTTTTAACGAACAAAACCATTCTCAGAGGACCAATATGTAATATTTTTTTGTACTAAAACGAAACATTAAATTATGTTAAAGAATATGATAGAATGCATGTCATCTCATTCCATCACTTTTTGTACTCTCAGATTTTGGTGGAATGAGAAAATTACTCTATTACATCATGAAATAGTCAAATAATAAAATAAGATATTTATTATATTTTATTTTGCTCCGCTCTATTTTACTCTGTTTTATTCTATTCTATTCAGTTTGTTATAGAGTATTAGGGATGACAACGGGACGGATCGGGGGCGAGTTTTACTATACCCGCACCCGCCTTCATATAACACATCTGCCCCCGTCTCTAAACTCAATCGGAGGTAAAAATTTATCGTCCAGACCCGCCCCCAGTAGAGAACGGGTGCACCCGCACCCGCCCCGCCCCTACCCAAAAAAAAATTAATTGCTTTTTAATTGTAATAAAAATTAATAATTTAATTAAAAAATTGATTATTTTAATAAATTATTTATTTATTTAATTAAAATTTTAATTAATAAATGAATATTAATTTAATTAATTTAATTATTTTAATTGCAATAAATATATTAATAATTTAATTAAAAATATAATTAATAAATAAATATTAAAATAAGTAAAATAAGAAAATTAAACTAAAATGCATTATTCGGGTCGGGGCCGGGGTCGGGCGGGTCTTAGTGTCTCTCCGCATCTGTAATTAAAAGTCGAGTTTTTCTCACACCTGCATCCATACCCACTTAAGTCGGATTTTTCTCGTTAATTTCAAGGCGGATTCGGGCACGCTCCGATGACTACGGGTTTTTTTTTTTTTTTTTATTCCAGTAGAGTATCCAAATATAGCGTTAAAGACTGAAATACTATTGCATTCTGAAAAATGATTGTAAAGGTGCACTTCCACACATTTCCAAAAGATTAAATATGAGAGTAAGAAAATAAATGGTAGACAGTTGTTATGCATAAAAGTTAAAATGAACATTTTTGAAAATTTGTAAGGGTAAAAGCATAAAGGTTTCCAATAATGAGTGTTTATGGTTAGAGATGAAGGAAAAAATTGGATTTTAACATGTAAAAGTCTATTCATTTTGGTTTAGATAATGATTTTATTTATTTATTTTAAATACATTTGTTATTATAAGCATATAAGATTTTGGGTTGATTTTTTTTATGTCAACTTTACCCTTCAACTTTCTTTTTGTTGACAAGTTTATCTTCAAATTCTTTTATCCCTTTGAAAAGTTTAATATTAATAAAAATTATATTTTTTAACTGTTCACATTATTATTATCCAATAATCTAGAATAAAATCAAAATTAAATAAAAACACTTATTTATATTTTAACGCATGAGCGCTTTAAAAAAAATTCACAAACAGACAGAGTGGAGGTGCCTATTTAAACGCTAGTTGTATCTTAATATAACATTCATTTTAATTTAATTTCTTATTAATTTATAAACAGTTAAATATAATTGTGTAATATAATTTTAAATTTTTATATAAAATAGACATAAATATAAACATGAAAATTCATTTTAGTAATCACACATCTAAAATTTATTTTGATACAAACTATTCAGACAAACATTAATTAATAAAAATCATTTTTATATTAATGTATCAAATTATAAACTAATTCACCTTCAACTAACTTTTAATTTAAATCAATTATATAAATTACTGGTTATCAAATTAAAAAAAAAAAAAAAAAACATCATATCACGGAAGAACCAACCAAACACACTTTAACCAATTTCCAACATAGTGAAAGTATAGGTTAAGACAAGTGTTCATAAATGGAGGCTTTATCCTTCCATATTTTATTTTCTACAATAAGTGGAACAAGAAAACTGTAATAGATTTCAACTATGAGGACATGGTTCTTTGAGATGGAATGTATTATTTGGATTATAGAATAAAAAGAAATTAGAGTCGTTAATGTGATTAAGAGTTGTTATAGATGTTAGTTAATTAATGGGGTTGTTCTTCTCCCTCTTATTGGTGAAGAGTTACTTGAAAATGTTTTAAAAAATTTTGAGAGTAAATTTTCGGACACACTTATTCTATACTAAAACATGTTTTAAGTATGACACGCTACTATTTGTTTTTAAATTAGTTGAAAGGTGTATATTCAAACTCACTCATACAATAATTTTGTTTATTTCACAATGACAAATTCGGAAGTGTAGTTTTTATTTGTCAAGTGAAAATTATATATATATATATATATATATATATATATATATATATATATATATATATATATATATATATATATATATATATATATATATATATATATATATATATATATATATATATTGTCTTGCATTAATTTCACAATTTAGTGAATAATTTGTAAGTATATTTCTGAATTTGTCGAGTGGAAAATTTAATAAAACACAATCATCCATGTTTTCTTCACTCATTATCATGTCACCATTTCCTTTTCAAACTCTACCAAAACTTCCTTCCACAATTAATCCTACTTCAAAATATTTCTCTATTTTTTCAAATAAACAAGAAAAAAAGAAAATAGAATTTAAGATAATATACATGTATTTCTTTCTCCATCACTTGTCCGCCAACAATTTATTAAAGAGTTGAAAGCGCATAAGAAATCATACACGACACTATATAGAAAGAAAGAACATTTTGATGCAATTCATGAATCTTTTATTCTTTGTGTCAGAGGTTTGACTCCAGAGGAAAAATGAAGGTATTTCTTTGAGATTGATCATTTTATAACAAATGCATATATTAAATGTGTGTTGATATGACAAGACATGGTTTCTCAAAAACATTTTTTCCACTTCATAGTGGGTCTACCTCAAAATTCAAAACGCATTATGTGTATTGTATGTCTTTTCGCACATGTTTTGATACATTTTAGTTTTCATCTAATAATATATTTAGGTGGTGACTATTTTTTGTATATTTTAATGTATATTTCCATTTTCTAAAATTTTCTAACATTTTGTTTTTCATAATAGATTAATTCGGAACTACATTTTCATATACCTTGATTTTACTAAACGAAATAGGATGTATCCGAAAATACATCTTCGATGTATTCTTTGACACGGGATTGAGTTTCTAAGATCCACATTGATCTAAAACTTGTATAAATATGGGTACCCCTCATCTTGTTAGAAATATCATACACAAAATGTCTCGATATTCATTATTGACTTTTGTCTACTTCAACGGCAAGAGTCCCCTCTTAAATTTAGGTTCCCAAAGACCATTTGTCTTGTCGATCCAAAATCCACAATAGAAAATTTATTATGCTACCCAAACAATCGAAGAGTTGTGAAGTTCTATTATCGTTCATCCTTGACTGACAACAAAGGGATAATACAATTCAATAAGTTCGAGTTGAAAACGGATGAAGATTTAACTGTTATGTTGAGTATATTTCACTGTTACGAAACAAAAGATCCGATCGAGATGGATGTGAAGGTAACAAGATCAGTCGAATATATTATTAAGATGTTGAAACACTCTCAACTATCATTTTATGATGAAATCTAATGTTAGATACTACGTTTTTTATATACTACTATTTTCGTTCCTTTTTATAAGAGACAATTTATCTTTTAGATTTATTGAATAATTAATATATCTAATCTATAAATTGACCAAATACATTAATTATTCAATAAACCTAAAATATGAGTTTTCTTTTATAAAAAGAAACAGAGGTAGTATGTTATAACAATGATTGTATTAGTTTAGAGTATTCTTTCCATTTTACACTTGTTTTTGGTTTACTAAACACATTATTTTTCAAAAATACAGTTCCAGATTTATTTTGAAGCGTTGATGCGTCCAAAAATGATTTTTATATTTTAGAAACATGTCTTTTCACCAAAGTGCATGCACACCACTAAGAGGGGAATAAGCTAATGCCCTAATTAATTTGTTGTGAGAGAATGTGTTCGGAAATTAGTTAGTTGTAGTTGTTATAGAGTATGTGTTTACATAAGAGAACACAAATAGAGAGCATTTTTATCTATTGTAATTACGAATAGACTATTCTCTATTTTGAAGAAGAAAGAAGGCCATAGAAGGAGGGGCCAAGGAATATGGATTGGTTCTTTCTAGAAACCTACAAAAATAACAGTATGAACTTTAAATTATTGTCTTAATTAGTTAATTGTAATTTTAGTCTCAACAGGTTCAACTGCTTAGATCAAAGTGTAATGCATAATGTGATGCGAGTAATATATTTGAAATGTGTCAATTCAACAACCTAAATGACATGTGTCACTCTGTTAGTAATTGGACAACATAAAAGATTGAGTTGAATTTCTATTTTCCAATGGATTGTCGTGTCATATGAGATTGTTGTCTCTTCATAAAATGACATCCACTTTAACAATTAGACAATGCATCAAAACATAATTTCATTGATTAGAAATGATTAAACTAAAATGACTACACAGTCACTTTGATCCCTAAATGTATGAAGCAGTTTCATTTTCCTTTTTAAATTTACCGAAAGTATAAAAACATTAAACTAAACTGACTAATAAATTTCGGAGGAAATAACAGTAATAAAAGTAACTTCTTTACACCAAACTTTCGTTCTGTCATTATCATCACTTCAATTCCCAGCTGCGAAGGAAGAAAATATCGAGTGTATTGTGTAACGCGCTTACTTTCTTTTCCTTTTATCAACTGTAGGATTCCTCATGTCATTTTTTGCAAGACTAGAGCCAGGAGGGACACCATATGGCATTGGAGAAGGAGCTTGAGTGGAAGATGCTGTCACAGGAACGTTCGTAGCAGGTACTGGTGGTAGTGCAGGCACAGGTGGCTGGGGTTGAGTTGAAGCAGGAAGTGCAGCATTAGGTTCTGGAAGTGGTTTTGGTAAAATGTGTTTTAGCCGATTGTTCCTATAGTTCTTCCAGAAATAGAACTGCTGTCTATGCGTCAATTCCTAAAATAGAGACAAGTTACTGTCAATCCAAGAAACACAAGGCAAAGCAAATCTTCTTTAACTTATTTATTTCAAGAACGTGAAATACAAATAATCTGGCTTGATGCATCTATGTACATAATTAACCAAATAAACTGATAGTCTATTAGTGACATAAGATAGATTCAGCTAACTGACAATCAAATCAATTCTTATCAATACCTACCACGTCACAGTTTTGCAAATACAACAATAGACTGCAGATTTCACTACCAAGAGATTGTTCAAGTAAATTGACACAGAATCCATATCTACCTTTGTCACAATTCATACAATTTAAAACAAAATTTGGTATATAAGATTTCTATTAAAAAATGATTGAGAATGGTGCAACATGTCAATTACATGAACACTTTAATATATTCCCTCCGTTTCAAAAAAACGGTCGTTTTAGAGGAAAATTTTTGTTTCAAAATGACTGTTGTTCTCACTTTTCAATGTAGCAATAATTACTATTTTTCCAATTGTGTCATATAAATTATTACTATGTACACTATTTTCAACACATTAATCTGACTAATTTAGTAAAAGTACAATATAATGACAATATTGTTGCATTTCTTAATCTGTGTGCAAAAATCTTAAACGACGGTCATTTTGAAACGGAGGGAATAATATGATTGCCATGAGAAATAATGATTCTGTAAAAGAAAAAAAAAGATATCACTGTTTACCTTATTGCTAGGATGTGCCATTGCATTGCGAAAGTTTGCATTCTGAAGAAGCTCGAGAAAATAGAGGCAGTGAGGATACCTAGCATTTGCCAAAAAGGAGCAATTAAATCAGAAAGCAACCCATTTGAACAAAGCATCACTAGAACATAACATAATCCCTTTTCCTGGCTTCAGTGAATCAATAATATAATGCTTACATGATAAATTTTATATATTCAGGGCGATTCCAATATTGGAGATACTTTAAGTACCCAATGAATGCTTCATCTTCAAAATTTCGGTTCTGAGCCAAATCTGTTTAAAAGGTGTAACAAATATTAGAAAGGGGACAAAACAAAAAGGTATCATACAAAATCATGCACCGCAATGACAAAGCATACCATGTTTTTTAAGTCAAAAATTATAATTTAATTAAGATGGAGATAAATTACAATGTATTTCAAGGATAAGAATCTAATTCAATATATCTGTTAAGGAAACCCTCCTAAACAGACCATGTTCTTGAAATTAAATAGAAGCCAAACACATCATCTAGTCCTGAATAATCTGTTGTATAACAGCTACATGTGTAGTAGATATTACTTATTGAAGCTGAAACTCTAAAAGCATATTGATAAAATAAAAAAATCATACAGTGGATGTAGGTAGGATTAGCAAGGCATTGAACGAATTCCAGTTCAAGCAAAAACCGTTGCCTCCCATCATCTGGATCCTTGTATATAGTCTTTGGCCTAAAGAAAAAGTAACCATCAGCCCTTAAGTACAACTCAACACGACCAACTAATCCCAAAACTGTACTCTTCATGCAAAAAGAAATCGATTAAGACAGAAAGAAATTAATATTCGTAACCTAAGTAAAGCCCTTGAAAAGGGCACAAGTTTCATACTGATCAAAACACAAATAATATTGGTCAATACCAATTTCTGTTGGATGACTTCCACTCATAACTATTCTAGCATAAAATGTCTCTATCTTCTGTTTTTCAACCATAAATTAAATTTTCAAACTAATGCCTGATAGGCCCATTATATCATAAGTCAGTCATTAAAGGAGAGCAAGGAGCAAAGTAATCAAAGAGACTTTCTGCTGTCTCAACCCAACCCAAGGAGAATAAGGGGCCAAAAAGAGTTGCTCTTGTATGAAGAGGAACAACAAAAATAAGAGACGGATAAAACAGTTAGAGGAGAAATCACAGAAGGGACGCATGACAATTGGTGAGTGGAGAAATATAGAATAAAGATCTGCTGTCCCGCACTTTTAGGCATTCATTTTTGCATTTTTTTTACCATCAATACATCTTTCCTAATTTATCTCTTGCCTGTGATTTTTTGAGTTGACCAGTCTCTATTTTATCAAGTTGGCATCCTGGAAGAGTATGAAATATACAGAAATGGAAGCCTCAGACAAATGGATGAAACAGGACGGTAATTGACAGGAAAAGGAGCATGTGATGGATACTCTAATGCTTGAAGTGAGAGCACATGTGACTTGTCATACAAGGGTTGATGATGACAAAGGAGTGGGGAGTAATAGAGGATGGGAAAACATTCTTCACAAAGGCTAAGCCTCACCACCACTAACCAATTTTGTCACATGTCCACTTTCTAACCCGCACCATGTAACTATATGGAAATGGTTTCATATTTCCCTCTATGTTAGAATGATAGAATGCAAGAGAGTTTGACTTTCAGAATTCATTATATGGGTTGAATGATTACAATGATACTACTATTGTATTTATAACACATACAGAGTGTAACAAACTCTAACTAACTTAAAGCTTGTAGAACAAGCTACTCACTCTAACTAACTAGAAGCTTCCAACATAAGCTATTAACAATATAGAAAGCCAGCTATCATAAGACAGCTGTAACAACTAACTAAGCTAACAGAGGCTGGGCTCGAGGCCCGGTCCATACACTATCTCTAACATGCTACACTCTCCCATTGCCATTCGTCCTTTCTATTATTCTTCCTCTTAACTGTTTTCTCCCACAACAACTTATGTTGTTCCCCTTGATACGTCTTTCTTCCTTCTTGTATAAACTTGGAGGCATGCTCTATTTGGCCCCTTACTCTCCACAGGTTGGGCTGAGATAGCAAACCCACCCCCTTGCACACTTTGCCCCTTTGCTCCCCTTCTACGATATACTATCGTTTTATTGGGCCTATCAATACCAAACACAGCCTTAAAAATATGTGGCCGTGATAATGTGATATTCAAGACAGTGAAATTAAAAAAAATAAAAAATGAAAATTATGCTTACGGTGATGGTGGGGTATCTGTTGGACTATTGCTTTCCATTTTAGAGGCCATGGAATCAGAATCCTCAACTACAAGAACAAAAACACACATAATTAGTAAATAATAACTTGGAACTTCTACATGACCCAGATCGCCTATGATTATTGATTTAGACAGGTAAACCAACCAAAATTAGAACATTAATTCTATGAATTAAGATGGAGTTGAGATGTATGAGTGTTTCAGGAAATTACAAGCAATGTTGTCTGAGACATGTCACCAACGCAATCAAGACAAACCACTAAGTCATTGGTTAAACCAATATATATTTTAAAAAATCAATACATATACCCGCTATTTATGATGCCATTTCAGTGCTAAACCAGTTTATAAACCCAGAGTACAAAACTTAAGTTGCATAGCCAGGAATATTAAATCTGAAGAAGTATTTTGGCTTACAAATCCACTGTACCAGGCTGCATTTTCTAGACTACATTGTTGCCAAAGAATGAAAGGAAACATGAAACAATTATGTAATGCCCTGCTACTTGTAAAACTAATAACAGTAAAATACGTTATCATTTGTAAAGGCATGGAATTAGATATTAAAAGGTTTCCCATGGCATCAAATGCAAGACAAAAAAATGAGCAACACAAATACAGGTACAATCAGTTGTCCAATAATAATAATTAGCCAATAAAGTTGCATTACATGAGTACACCTTTGACACCATAATTATGTGGTTAGTTACGGACATGGTTTCAGTTCATTACTATGCTGTTAATCTCAGCCAGAACCAAAAAATGTTATAGTGGATAGCCACTATTGTGAAGACAAAAACAATGCAAATAGCTAACATAATACCCAAAAATAGAAAAACACACAAATCAGCTTTGTCATTTCCCATCAAGTGTTAATAATAGTGGATCACAAAAAATAGCCACTTAGCCCATCGTGTAACTCGTTTCGTACTAAATAGCATGCCTCTTTAAAAAAACTTGGCCAACACTTCAAGTTTGTTAATTTTTTTTATATAAAAAGTTTGGACACGGCTAAAACACCGAACTCTGATATTCAACACGTCACGACATAACCCATAGATCAAAACGCGCCAATATACTGCAAATATCAGAGTTGATACATCATCTCGGCTAACCCAAACTCCGATGCATAACAGCGGTATAGCAGTGCTATACGTTTTTTTAACAATACTATTCCCATCAAAATCAAGTTCTAACTTGTAAAAGTATTCAAAATGACAAAACCAAGTTCTAGCAGTAAACAGAATAACAAGCCATTCATATGAAGAGAAGCAGAAACCCTAAACCTAAACAAAGCTAGAATACATTATCATAAACAAAAGGGAAGCAAGAAAAGGAGAACAAAAACCTTTACAGACAAACAGAACAAGGAGAACAACGATGGCAGAACACGAAACTGAGAAGAATAACAAAGAAGATCGACCAAAATTGAAAGATAAAAAACGCAAGTTACAATATTAGGTCATTGGAAGGGTGAGAAAGTACCAATATTAGAATCACTTCCCTCAGAAAAACTTCCCCTAGAAAACCACTTAAAATTAATTGAATTTGCACAAAAGCACTTCCACTTCAAGCTTAATCTTTGTGAATAAAAAAGCTGAGTTGAACCCAAAGTTTAAATGAAGATCTAGTATTGAAACAATAAGAAATTGAAATTTATATCTATCTACTAGATGGTGAGATAATTATTGATCATAGAGTAGTACTGGTGATAACCAAATCCACATTAATCACCCAAAAATACAGTGCTCAATTGCAAATAAGAGAAAACAAACCACAATTAGTTAAAGTTCATCATCAACAGAAGTTCTCACATTCTACTACTAGCATTTATGAAACATAACTGCCCCAGTGTTATTGACGGCGTAAGGTCAAAATTCTACCATTTCAAGCTCCAAAAAACACAAAGATCCGCCATCCATCACAAATTGGCCGTAGCGGTTAGCAAAAACCCTAGCATTACAATCTGCCATAGCTACTATTTGACAAATTTTTTAAAGTGAAAGTTGCAATCCCCAATTCCGTGAATAACGTAATTTTCCTTACAGCGCCGCATAGCATAAAAAATTTGCAATTATACAAAGTGAAGTAAAGTCGAACACTCGGCATGCATGAATAACAGCAAAATAAAATGGGTATGAATTGTCAAAAGCACAAATATGAAGGTGTTAATTAATTAATTGTAGAATTATTAAAAGCATAGACACAGTTAAAGTGAAGAAGAAGAAGAATGAACTAACCGGAATCGCAGAGCTGGTAAAACTTTTCAATGTCTGAAACAACAACAACGATTGAGTAAATAAGAAGAAGCAGTAGTATAAAAAATTTGCTATATTCTTCCAGGTCCTTTTTTTTTAAAAGATTTTTAATTGTTAATTTTTTTTTTTTGTTTTAAGCAAATGATGACCCTTTTTAGAACAAATTGCATACCCTTACACCACGATTTTTTAAGGCATACATCATGTAAAAATTTAAAAATACTTCTCAAAATTGAAAAATAAATTTCTGAAAACACATCATACAATACAACTCATTTGATTTTGAATTACATTCCATTTTAATAATTTAAACTAACACAATATTCATGCATTTGCATGAATATTGGTCGACGACGCACATTTGTTTACTAAAAATAATCTCTAATAAAGACAAATTAATTGTAAAAACTAATTTGATATAAAAAAAAAAACTTTAAATAATAAAAAAAATATTAAATATAGATTAAATGTAATTAATATTTGTATAATATAATAGATATGTTTGGTAATTAAAAATAAATTTCCAATATTTGTTAGTAGAAAAAAACTTTAAAAAATTTTAAAATCAATTTGAGTAGATGTAAATATTGACAAATGAAATTGTAAATAAATTAAAAGATAACAGAATATAGATAAATATGAGTGAGTTGTAAAATGATGAATAAATGATAAAATGATGGGTAAAAAATAATGGGAAAACAAAACGTTGAATAAATTAAAATAATAAAATAAAACAATCGTGCATATTGGTGGGTTTGTCATGAAAACATAACAAAAGTAGTAGGAAAAAGAAACATTTCTATTATCAGAACAGTACAAGGTGTGTAGAAGCCTCCGATTGTTCATACTCTTTCATCTTCTTCAAAAGGATGTCATCCGAAAAGAAAACTCTTGAAAATGGGTTATTTGTTTGAGAGAGGTAAATCAGTAGTATTTTGCATGTCCGTTAACATATAGGTCTAACGTTTTTGCAATGTCTTTCAATGTTAAATGGTTTTTGCAGATCTGTAATATGTTGTTGAATTGGAAGCAGATACAGCATGGAGAAGAAGGAAGTTGGACCAATGTTATCTCGAGTTGGAGGAGTATTGTAAGAGTGGTAGTGGTAGAGACCCTAAACATGCAAAATCCACGGGTGGATCGTCATCAACTCCGGTGGTAGTTGGGTCAGGTGAAAAACTTATAGATAAAAAGGAAAAAGGAATGGATGGAACGAAAGGAGTTGTTGAAGGTCATCCATTAAATCTGAAGGTTAAGGTCCATGCAGTTGAGGATGCTGAAGGTGGAAAGTCTGAGGTTGATGGGAAAAAATGTACTAATGTTTTTGTTCCTGCACCATCTCACATATCGATATCATCTAACAGTGACACGTAAATGCTCATATGTTTTAATCAGAATGGTAGTACAACTGTGGTTGGAAAATTAGTTATTCTTATGTAATGGGTTATGCAGTTAGGTTAACAGTTGTATAATGGGTCTTGAATGAGATTTTGCTAAATTTTGTGTTGTATTTTTGTTGTAGTTATGATGGAGACGATGATACAGATGATTCAAGTGATGAAGATCTTTCAATTCGTCTAAGGTACTGTATCTGAAAGAAGAAAATCAAAGATGCAAAGACTGCTAAAAAAAACGTGCTTTTAAGTAATATGCAACTATTCATAAAAATGTATATGTCGAGTTAGTTATATTGTGGTTAAAATATAGGTATATCAATTCTTATGTTAATCAGAACTTCTATATGTACGTGCAGCAAATCCCCCAAAATGTCATCAAGACATGTAAGTTGAATGGACTAAGGAGGATAGAGATGTTGGACACAAATAGTATGGAGAGTTATGACTGTGAATTCCACACAAGTGAAAGGAAATATTGTGTTGAAATGTTTATCAGGCACGGGTAGTATCAGTTTGCAAAGAAAAAAGGCCTGAAAAAATGGGATATTGTTGGTTTCAGCATTCGCCATTTTTCGGTAACAAAAGTGGTTGTTTGTGTTTTGAACCGTTGAAATGGTTTGGATTCATATGTTACAAAGTAGTTGTTTGTAGTAAATATCAGTTTCAGTTAAGTTTTAGGAATAGTTTCAAGTAGAAGTCGTATGGTACTTTAAAGAATTATGGTATAATGTTGCAGTGTCATACGTAGTATGTATTTCATCCTATTAATTTTTTGGGTTAATTTAACCAAAATGACAGCAATGTTATTACATGAGTGTGTTGAACAACCAATAAGTTTATTATGAATTATGTTATGGTAAAATGTGGTTTATAACGAAGCTTTTTCATTATATTGTGTTGTTGACCTTGACGGTTGATCAGAACCTGAAGTGGGCCAGAGACAATTGTCTGTGATACTGGATGTGAAAGAGGAGGATGGGTTGTACCTGCAAGGCACTCCGATGCTAAAGTAAGAATCGGGAGAAAGAAGGTCAATACAAAATATGTTTGTATCAAGGTGAATATTGAATACCTGACTCTCTCAAATGAGAGGATTTTTATAGTGCCCTCAACGCTTGGCCATTGGTCCCTATTTTCGAGGTGAGATAATCGTTTCCCGAAGAATAGGTAACTTCCAGAAACTAGCAGTTGGAACAGACAGAGGTACCCATAACTAGTCGTTGCTACGGGCACAAGCGTCTTGGCTATTTCTGGATGGTAGAACCGTGCATGACGGACAAGGACTGACGAGGAGAAGTGTTGGCCCATGGGTAAACCGGTCAACCTCCCCTGTTGGAGGGGAAGAAATGTAAATGCTCCCCTAAAATGGTTGGAC